AAGAAAGATGAGAATAGGCCTGCCAATATTCTTCACATTTGAAAGTTTCCTACCAGCATAAATTCCCTGATGTTCAACAATGTTTGAGCCATACACAAAGCACTTCCCACATTCCTCAAACTCTTAGGGTATAACACCCATATGCTTTCTCAGATGCACTTTAAGGGCTGAACTGTATCTAAAGGTCTTCCCACATATTTTACATTTAAAGGGTTTCTCACCAGTATGTACCCGCTGATGTTCGGTAAGGAATGAATTAAGTCTAAAGGCCTTCCCACATTCCTTACATTCAAAAGGTTTCTCACCAGTGTGAACACTCTGATGTCCAATAAGTTGTCCATAAACGGTAAAGGCTTTCCCACATTTGTTACATTCATAGGGTTTCTCCCCAGTATGAATTCTTTGATGCTGAACAAGGTATGAGCCAGAACTGAAGGCCTTGCCACACTCCTTACACTCATAGGGCTTCTTACCAGTATGGATTCTGCCATGTTGTACAAGGTACGAGGCTCGACTAAAAGTCTTTCCACATTCCTTACATTCGTAGGGCTTTACATCAGTATGAATTTTCCAATGCTGTGTGAGATGTACGTGCACTCTGAAGGCCTTGCCACATTCCTTACACTCATAGGGTTTCTCTCCAGTATGAACCCTTTGATGTACAGTAAGCTGATGGCGACTAATAAAGGCTTTGCCACATTCCTTACATTCATGGGGTTTCTCCCCAGTATGAATCCTCTGATGCTGAACAAGGTATGAGCCAGTACTAAAGGCCTTGCCACACTCCTTACATTCATAGGGCTTCTCGCCAGTGTGAAGTCTTCCATGTTGAACAAGATATGAGGCACGACTGAAGGTCTTCCCACATTCCTTGCATCTGTACGGCTTTATCCCTGCGTGAATTCGCTGATGTGCATGAAGGAAGGAACTAAGTCTAAAGGCCTTTCCACATTCCTTACATTCAAAAGGCTTCTCACCAGTATGAATACTCTGATGTCGAGTAAGCTGTCCATACACAGTGAAAGCCTTCCCACACTCCTTACATTCATAGGGTTTCTCGCCAGTATGAATTCTCTGATGCTTAGCAAGGGGTGAGCTAGTACTAAAGGCCTTCCCACATTCTTTGCATTCATAGGGTTTTTCACCAGTATGAATTCGCTGATGTTGAATCAGGTATGAAAAGGTACTGAAGGCCTTCCCACACTCCTCACACACAAAGGGTTTTTCACCAGTGTGAATACTCTGATGCCGGGTAAGCTTTCCATATGCTAGAAAAGCTTTCCCACATTCCCTGCACTCATATGGTTTCTTCCCAGTATGAATACTCTCATGTACTGTAAGTTGACAGTTACCGCTAAGTCTTTTCACATCGCTTACATTTGAGTGACTTCTCACCAGTGTGAATTCTCCTATGCTTAACCAAGGCTGAACCTCTGATAAAGGCCTTCCCACATTTCTCACATTTGTAGGGTTTCTCATCAACATGCAATCTCTGATGTATGGTGAGTTGATGTCCACTACTAAAGTTCCTCCCACATTCTTTACATCTGTTGGGTTTTTCACTACTATGTATTCTTTCATGTTGAACGGGCTTTAAGTCTTGACAAAGAGTCTTTCCATATTCCTGACATTCATGTGGTTTCTGTCTACTAATTTTCTGATGTGGGGCAAAAGATGGACAGTTTTCAGAGGGGAGCATTTCTTTACGGCCAATTGTATCATCTTCCAACTGCAAATCTGAAAGAAAAATTTTTTAAATATCTTATTCTATATGAAAAAAAATTATAGAGAAGAGAAAAACTGAAAATAACACTAACTAGAAATAAATAGCTCAGTAATATTAAAATACCATTATGAAATTCAAAAAACAGAAGGAATACAGAGATTAACAAGTGTTTATGTAAAATAGTAAGGTTGGTGATTAGTGACACAGTTTTTATTTAGGTGTGCATAAAAATCTTTGAAGAGCCTGTTAAAAAATGGATGTTCAAGCAGCATCCAGGCCCTCTGAATCAGATACAGGGGAAGTTCCTGGGCATCAATATTGTCAACCTTTCTAACAAATGTTTCTGATGCAGATGAAATTTTTATAATCCATATTTTATTGTTCCTTCTGGGGGTTTCTTGTGGCACTTACATTAAAATCCATGTATCTTTCCACAAATAATATGGTCCCTGTTCACCTCTCACGCCTCACATCAAGACACAGCTCCCTCTGTCCCATACTGACCTAATTTC